TGATTGATTGATTGATTGAAATGTTCTTGAACGCTGTTATTTTTCCTTTAGAAAAAGATCCACGGAAACAACCAATGTCTGTGTACCTAATGTCCAAAACATTAAAAGAAGGTAGAAAAACTCATCAAGACATTTTCCTGACCTTGCTTTGCTCACCAGAATGTGCAAAAATGTACAAAAAGAGCCTGAAGAGGCTTTTTTTTTCTTCAAATTGCTTATTCGGTCACACAGAAACACAACTAATTGGACCCAACACACTTGCTTATAATAACACAGAAATACCGACAACAAGCACAACAAGCCCCTGAACAATTTTGTGATTCATATAACAAACTCAAACAAAGTAAAGAATGAATGAATAAAAGTATCTTAGTATCTTAAGCATATAAAACAATTTCCTTCTACAAGCTTATAGTGTGGATTTAAGTCTGACACGTATTTAATATTTTAAAGGAAGGTCAGGATATTCATTTTATCATTTGATTCATGTAAATAGATATTACATTTATTTAACTTTTTATGCAATCATGAGACAGAAAGTAATTAACTGGGGAGTATTATCACCACATCGACTGCAGGTGAGTGTGTGCTTAAGCTGATACAGAATGTGGTTATCCTTTAACAAAGATAAGAATCCCTTTGCCTTTATTTTCATGGTTGTGGTCAAACATGCCTGAGAATGTGTCACATTGGAGGGTCAGAGGTCATTTCTCAGGTGAAAAACCACAAGTGTGAGTGCAACAACATGATTAACCAAGGATCAATATGACCACGGAATGACATTTTTTCCATTTATTTAAAACAGTTCAGTTTATTTGCAGATTATGTTCTCAAAGGAATGCAGGGAATAAAAAGCACTCTAGATTCATGGCTACAGGGGTGGAAATGTCGGCTGCTTCACAGTGAAATATCTCAGCATTTATTGGATGGATTTCCATGACATTTGGTACAAACATTCACGGTCCCCACGGGATGAATCCGTCTGACCTTTGTGAGCCCTTGACTTTTCCTTTAGTGCCACCATGAGGTGCACATTTCTGATTGCATGCAACTGCATGGCTGCCATGAAATCTCTCCCTCTCAGGACGAACTGTAATAAGGTTGGTGATCACATAAAGCTCCAGTGTGTAACATTTAGTGATCCTATTTGCAGACAAGTTGAATCAGGTAATGATCATAGTATGTTTTGTCATTAGTGTATAATCACCCAAATATAAGAACTGTTTTGTTACCTCAGAATGCAGGTCATCTTTGGACAAACCAAACACTGGCTGTAGATCAGGGTGTTCTCGTTTTCTGTACATTTCTCTACCACCATAGTTTCTTTTTTTGGGGGGGGGAAATCAGGGTGAAGCAAGGGAGTTGCAATCTGCAACTACACTGCTGGAGGCCACTTAATCGTGCACAGTGG